CTCAGGTCTCCTTCCATGCCCAGCCCACCCCTCTTCTTCCTCCTCCTCCTCCCACCCATCCTTCTCCATCTCCATCTCACCATCCCTACATCAACATGACAAGTGCAGGGACTCCTGGCCCCCGTGCTGCCATGGCAACTGCATCACCTCCCCAGGCTCCTGCCACCGATTCACTGGTGACACGCGAGCAGCGCATCTCGGTCCCTGCCGCTCGGACTGGCATCCTGCACGATGCCCGTCGTCGTAGCAACAAGAAGCCCATGTTCTGTGCAGTCCAGAATAAAGATGTTTCTCCAAACCCAGACTTGATGTCTATGGTCCAGAACATGGATGACCACTTTGGGAAAAGCCAAGGTGGTGAACCTGGAGATGCACCCAGTGGGGAGACGGGACATGAATCAGGGCCTGAGGAGGACTGGCTGAGGCTGGGAGCAGAGGCCTGCAACTTTTTGCAGGCTCAACGGGGACCCAGGCCACCTCCCGTAGCTCCCAAACCGCAAGCCCCTCAGGTGCCACAACTGGCAGGGAAGGGAGGTCAACTGTTTGCACGCAGACAGAACAGGATGGATCGGTACATTGTGGAGCGCGCTCCTTCTGTTGCCACAGCACCTTACTCTCCTGCCCAGACGAGAGAACCCTCACCCACACCTTCTCTCCCTGCCACCTGGAAATACTCGTCCAACATCCGTGCCCCTCCTCCCATCAGCTACAACCCCCTTCTCTCTCCCTCTTGCCCTCTGAAGGCCCAGAAGAAGCCTGAGGTAGCAAAGTCTGGGCCAGCTGGATCTAAAGGGAAGAAAGCGGGCATCAAGTCTGTGGACATTATGAGCCACCAGCCTTACCAACTCAACTCTTCTCTGTTCAGCTACGGGGGCAGTGTTCCCCAGGGCACCTCCACCAATCAGCAGCAGCAGCAGCGAGGAATGCCAAGTGGTCCTCAGAAGACAGCACGAGTATATGAGGTAAAGCGCTTCTCTACTCCGCCGCCAATAGCCACGGGGCCCGCCCTCAAAGTTATTGTACCTCGATCAGCTACGACACTTGGAGAACCACTGTGGCGCTCTGATGTCACATCTCCTCCACCCACAGTTAGCCCTGCCCCCTACCAACCCTATCAGCCTCAACCCCAATCATACCAACCTCAGTGGGCCACCTCCCCTCTATCTCCCCCACCTCCGCCCGCCCCTACTGCTCCACTTCCTCAGCTCCCAACCTTTGCCTCTGCTTCAAATCCAGTCCTGTCTCCTACGTTCACCCACCTTCAGCCCTCCAACAGTGCACAGGCCAACAGGCAGTTTAAGAGTGCCCCAGATCTGAGTCCCCTGGGCCCCGCTGGTGCCTCTCAGCCTGCGGCCAGCAGCACTCAACCTATCAGGGTCCCCAGGCCCAGGTTCAGCACTTCCAACCTGGGTCTGCAGCCTGGCGTCTGGCGCCCTGGATCCACTACGCACTGAAGAGACTCTGGGCATATAAACCACCGCACTATGGGAACATAGAGCAACATTTTCTAATTAAGTCCATGTATTTTTAGTGTTGTAATATTGTTATTCTGGGCTGCAGCTTGGGTTTTATTAGCCACATTTTATCACAAGATCTGTTTGGATCGGCCACCCATGTAGCACATTTTTATCACATTTAATCTTGTTGACTCATTTATTCAATGCATTTGGTTATAATTAAAGGGAACACCATGTCTTGCAAATGAAATGTAGTGTGGAAACCTGAGAAAAGTTTAAAAGAAAAAATGGAGATCAATGGCATATTAAAAGGACAGAAAGAGATGCTGAGGTAAACTGAAATAAAGGTCTGTAAATATTGTACTGGATGATGAAGAATAAAGTTTAAACATAAAAAAGAAGAATAGAGGATGTGGAAGGACAAGCCTGTTGTGAGAGATGTAGTCGAGGGTGGGAAGAGGCTGAAAAGAAAAGCACAGGAGGCACTGATGAAGTGACATGATAGAAACAATGTCTGATGAGGTGTAAAAGAGGCACATTTGATCTTATAACTTCATAATCTGTCAGCACCACACAGGGGCTGTTGCCTTCCAGTAATTTCATTTTAGAAAAAGTTGCTTTCTAACAAATTTAAAGTAGCTACTACTACTGTAATTTCTCCTCTGTCATATATATTCTGAGGATTTGCATTTGATGATTGTGAATGTCTTTTTTTTTGTTGCACTCTGCAGCAATGTGTGCTTTGTTTTCTGTAGTGTTTCATAGGGCGAGGAGCAAAGGTGCCATGAAGAATGGAAGCCTTTTACAGAAAGCTTGATTTCTGATCTGTTGATATGAAACAGGAGAGGTATAACATGTCTGATTAGCTGTTATTCTTTTCCACAGAGACATGCGGCTGAATAAAAATAGACATGACTCACCTCAGCTGTCACTCTGTTTCTTACTGTGTCACCCACATCACCACTCGCTCCCACACTGGGCCCCGTTTACCTCCTCCCATTTGTTTTTACCCTTCTTTCTTTATCAGGCATTTACTGACTAGTCTAACAGCTTAATGGTTCTCTCAGGATTTAGTCAGTTTAGAGCTAAAAGACAAAGTATTTGTTTAAACTTTCACCACATGGAGGCACTGTAGGATTTGTCATCTAGTAGGATCTGTCATCCAGACATGTTATACAGTCTGTGGTTTCACCACTACAGTTTATGGTCTCCCTTGTCTCATCCCATATTTTACATGGCTAGAATCTGAGTAACATTTAATGTAACGGGGGGGGGGGGGGGGGGAGTCTTGTCTTTTTATCTATTTCATGGATCCTAACTATAAATTTTAGTAAAATTATCCTATATTTGATAATCTGGCTGAATGAAAAGTGATAATTTTAAATACATGTCTTTCTATTTTAGATTCAATCTCTGATCATTGCTGTTGAAAATGTCCTTGTAGGATTGTTGGCCTTCACATTTCAGAGCAGTTTAATGACAACCACCTGATGGCCTTGGAACTGTGAAACCCAACCATGGCCACAGAAAGGGATCTAACCTATAACCCTTGACTGGCATCAGGTGACAGACAGGACTAACTTTAGTCCTGTTCAGGTCCACTTGTAAGGTTAGCTGCTGTGCTAGTGGAAGGAACAACACACAAATCCCTGCAGTGTGCAGCATATTAATTTTTCTACAAACTAGGTCACTGGATTTTAGAAATACATAACAGCTGTAACTGCACTTAAAGTAATGACTGAAGTGGCTCTTTTTACTCTTGGCCAAATTACCAAATCAGTTCTACAATTCTCCCTCTTTCGGTCTCTCTCCTCTTCTCTGTTAATTCCTCTCTCACTCAGTTTCGCACACACACACACACACACACACATACCCATACACACACACACGCACAGCCCATTTTACCTATTTTTAGAGCTGTTAATCTCCAGCTATTTGGCCCGGTGCTAAACTCCTAATTCTGATGGCTTTTTTACAACGTGATTGAGAGTGGAGAGGAAGAGTTACCTTGTACATCCTGTCTCCTCCTGCTGCTCTGCCAAAGAGCCTCTTTCCTCACACCGTATTTCTGGGTCAACATAGTCGAGTGTTTGGGGTCAAGGGTCAGGGTTTATGGACAGGTCAGACAATGGGCAAATAGAGGTCATTCTCACTCCCACATGGATCGATTATTTTAGGGTTATTATTTTGGATAAAAGGAGTTTCTAAATCAATATGAACTGATGTGTTTGGCTGAATAAAGTATTACTAGAAGGTAATTTGTCATAACCAACCAGTTTTGTAATAAGCCTTCTAACAGGGCATACTGATGGATTTATAACCCAGCTGCACACAAATCTATGTCGAGGCCACCTGGCATTTCCAATTTCAGGACTACCATACATACTGCAAGGGTGATTTTTAGCACATACTGCACGGGGGATCCATGTTCCTAATCACTTTGGTGATCACCACAAGGTTGTGGTTTTGAGTGAAATGCCTAGACAACTATTGGATGGACATTCATGTCCCCCTTGTAATAACTTTTCATCAAATTCTAAGCCAGACCAAATACTTGCAAGACATTCCCATTTGCCTTAGCTATACTTTTTGTTTAATGCTAAATATCAAATGTCAGCATGCTAACACACTAAACTAATATGATGGTATATGTATGGTCAACATTAAATCTCCTAAACATCAGAATGTTTACATTATCTGTGCCCCTGTTCCCCTGCGGTTGGCAAATGATTCTGGGGTTCACTAAAATCATCATGCCGATTCTGACTTTCTGGATCTGAACAAAAAATTTGGCATACTCCCTACGATACGTGACATATATGTAATGTTATGGTCGTCCAAGTAACACGGGTGTAAGAGCTGTTTTTGTTTGTTTAATTGGGGAAAGAGGCTGTAAAGAGTTCATTAAACAGCTCCCTGTTTTATTATGTAAAACTAACTCTAGGTTTTGACCTTTGGCCCCTGTGAAATCGGAAGGGTTAGTAACATGGTTCGACTTGAATAAAACCTGAGTAAAAGTTACTTTGAGTAAATGTTTGTTGTTGTTCTTTATTATTTTTTACCTATATTTTTTGGGTAATTATGAGGCTGTTGTGTCTAGATTTGACTAATTATTTAAATTACTGTTGTGTATTGAGCTATCATATTTGACACCTTTATAACAGAACTTTTCCAAGCGAACCTAAATTCTACATATGTATTGCATTATTCATCTTGAATGCAACTATTCGCGTCAACTATTTATTCATTTTAAAATAGCCCTGGTTATTCTGAAGAAGAAAATGTGTCATCTTTAAATTTTCAGGCCTTTCTGTCATTTCTTTTTACACAAAGTTGATAGAAAAAAAGTTATTGGAAAAAAATCATCATCATCAGTTTCTTATTATCACTTATCGTACAAACCTCACGTACAAACTCACAACACCACACCCTCTTTACCCCCCTAGTCAATTCACCCCTTCCCCCCACCACCCATGCCAGGTCTATAGCACTGGGACAGCCCTGCTAATAGGGTTTCACTCTCTCTGGGGCAAAGAGGAGGGCAGGCAGGATAATACAAGCTCTGGGACACAATTCTACCTGGGAATCTATATTCCTCTTCCTCTGAGCCACACCTCTTCTGGGACCTGTGTCTTCCCGTGGATACCTGGGTCTTAGGTAAGACACTACAGAAGTGAAAATGCGCGATGCCTTGATTAAACCCAAAGAAATCTTGCTCACACATGCCTTGAATGTTTGTGGATCTGTCGCCGATGGTCACGGAGTTGTCAAAAAATTCTGGCTCCTATTTCAAGGAGACGGTTTCAGTTAAATTCATGTGATTCCTGTGGTCAAGAAATTTTGGCAGCAGGAGAAGTCCCTATCTGTGGCCTGTGGAGGCTTCTGTAACTAGATTAATTAACGAATAAGGGAATCAGAAGCAGATGCTCAACAAATTCATATTATAGAATTGACTGTTTTGTTTGAAAGTCATAGTCCTTGCTCAAGGCCGGCTTTACATCATACATAGATTGACAGTTATATTGCAGATTTGCAATTTCTTGAGTAAATAGTTCATTTAAATATCAATTAAACCAAATCTGAATCATGAGAGCCAGCTGGTGGACAGCTTTCCTCATCTCTTACCCAATACTGTGGTAGGTGAGGAATGTGGCCCTCTGCAGCGGAGTTTTTAGTTCTTGGGTTTGGATATATGTGTGTATTTGGGAATGTGCTTACTGATGCCCTTCCTCCCCAGCTGTCCCCTCGAGATTTATCTGAAGCTAAAACAGGCTGGTCATGGGGTCAGGAGCGCCTCTTCACTCAGAGAGATGGTAACAGGACCCAGGCCCTCATGCTGCTCCCGTTGTCGCCATCAGCACAGCATGCAAAAACACCTGTAATCTCCAGTTTTTAATCCACGGCCACTGACTCACATTAATCACAAGAGAAGAGCTATTTGAGTGCAAATCTGTGTGTGTGCTTGTGCCAGTGTGTGTATGTATGTCTTGTGCTGATGACAGTCCCACTCACCACAGCGCTATAGAACATGGGTTTACAAAAATAGCTCACACAGGACAGAATCCCAGGCTAGGAAATGAGCTTCAATTACACCAGATGAAAAGCAATTACATTAACTGTCTCCCTGTAGACGGGCCCTCCAGCTTTTTCTCTTGTACTGGGACTCACCTCCAGCCTTACATAATTGCTTTCGACCTGTGCAATTGACAGCGACATACTGCAGGTCCCCATCTGAGTAGTTAGTCAAGAGGGACATGAGCTGCCACTGGGTATTAGTGTCCTCAAGGGTATTTGGGGGCTATATACCATGTTTAAAGCATGCTTAAGTTAATTAGGGAATCCAGTGAAGTTCTGCTGGAGCTTGCTATAATTTGGGACGTGATGTGCATCTTAATCATACATGAACATATCTTGGAAATAAATTTAGATTTTTTTAGTGAAATATTTTGGGAAAAGAAAGACAAACCTTTGTTGGATCACATTTCACCTGTCAGTCTCTTGTTGCTAATCCTGTCATGCTCTCTGCTAGACCCCTGAGAGACCAAATACAGCATTTGGATATTTATTCTAAATGACTGCTTGAGTCTCTCTTTCAGTATAAAATCAATTCAAGTCAATTTATTAATGGAGCAAATAAAAAAACAAAAACAAATGTTGAACAAAGTGTTTATAGAAAATGTAACATACAATTTGTTAGTGTAAAACAGTAAGATCAAGTATTTATGTCATAATAATGAGTGCTATAAACTCAGTTTATCTGACACCACTTTATGTCCCAAATAGAGTTAGGCCTGTCCATTTGGTGACAAAGTGGCATAGGCTGGTGTATTTATTGCTTTATAGTGTACCAAAAATGTTCAAAAAGCTTTTGAGAGTCTCACCCTGGATCTCAGGACAGGACATATGCAATAGCCTAGAATTAGTTAGAAAATTAGAAATACCCAATTAATTAGTAGTCCACTACTGATTTATTATGTGCTCATTTGTTAAATCTGTTTTAATAAATTTTTGGCCAATTGGAGGCACTGTAACAAACTGTAAAATAACAAATCCTCCAAATTAAAGCTTCAGTGTGTAAGTTTTAGTGGCATCTAGAGGTGGGGGTTGCAAATTGAAGACAACTGCTCATTGTGCATTCACGTGTTCCTTGGATGGTCCCATTTCCCAAGTTGTGATGTCGTTCTTGCGACTTTGGTGTGTTCATGTGCTCTTAAGTCAGAATGTGGAATCAACATAGACGTTACTACAAAGATGTGTTGGATTAGCATGATCAGAGCTCATAAATAACACAGAGACATCTATGATAACTTATATCAATGTAATTTCTAAATCCAACACAAGAAGGCTGTGAAAACTTGGTGTGCGGTCCTCTTTTAATATCTTTACATAATATAGACTACCCCTGGCAAAGTTTTTATTGTTTGTTTCTTCCTATATTTTTGCATACTATTCTGTATGTATCTATTCGGTAATTCTGTATAATTCTTTATGTCTTTAACTTTTTGCAATAAAGATTTAAGGAGGAAATAAGAATTCCAATTATACCGACATTACATGAATGGACCATCAATCACCGCTCACCCCTCCCATTCCAAGCGCGTAGGAGAAACTCTGGTGGCCGACATGCACTGTTGGCTCTTGTGCAGAATAATACATGTGGTCCTCCATTTGTCCAGATTTCACTTCTCTTCTTAATTCTAATAAACCAGACAACTACTTCTTCTTCTTCCTTCTTTTTTGTACATATTCAACGTAATGACGAAACCCGCTCCGTAGAGTCGTTTGTCCGTTTGGGCAAACTGTAGTAACATGGCAGCGCAACACAGCAACTTCCATGTAAGAGGGCCCTGTATGTAGATAGAAATGGCTCATTCTAAGGTAATAAAAACACAACATTCATTATGTAAGGTCTCCTAAATATTACACACTGAACCTTTAAATGACAAAACAATGTAATTTGTAACTGCCCTCTGGTACAATACCAGAGAATATTCTGGCACCTCTATTGGCAACATGATAGAATTTATATTCTTGAATTCAAAAACATTACAAATCACTGTAAATCTGATTTATTATGTGACAACTATGGTTATAGTTGGGTTAGGTTTGGGAAACACGTGGTTAGGGTTAAAATGACTACTTCATGAAGGTAAGGAGACCTCTGTTGTCATGGTTACAATCATGTTGTGTAATTACTCTCACTGTCAGAAGGGGGAGACAAAAGTTGCAGGTGGAACTTTTTTGTTTGGGGGCACTTGCTGAAATAACCGATGCTGAAATAACCGATGCTGTCAGTATTTCTTTAGCAACCAAATGCTGCACTGCTGTACAAACTAGTTGCTAAATTTGTCTGCTGTATGGTGAAGAATACAGTAGGTTCATCGGAGCATCTTCACTGAAAACAGCCACCTGCTGCGGTAGGAGGGTTAATGAGGCAATGACCTTAAAAATGCTAAAACGCTCTGTAGAACTGAAGAACTGCAGAGTCGGTTGATAATTCTCTGCAGATTTTCACTACAAGCAAAACATTTTTGCAATAAATAAAGTAATATGATCCAATATTAATATGAAAATATTGATTAGTACAGCTTTAAATTTTCAAATTTAAATGAAGCAAAACTTTAATTACAATTTTTCTATTTCTGATGAGTAAAAGTTCACTTTTGACTTTGAAGTAGTAGTTTGACAAAAAGTCCTAACTCAAGGATGGAGTTTTATCTGCTGATGAAGACTGTGAGATGTAGTTCAAAGATCCAGAAAAGGCTAGTTAGTAGACCGTGAGTTTGTTTTTTTGACTGTATAGGTGTATTTTTCTTTCTGTGTAAAGCTATAATTATTTGTCTGAAAATTGGTAAATGGAACTGATGATAATATTATGAAATTATTTCTCTGTTGTTTCTTTTAGCCATGCCTCTAAAAACAACTCCTGCCCCTTCTAACAAGAGGAAGGCCAACAAGATCATCACTGACCTGTCCAACATCAGCCAGAATGGTAAAACACACACACACAAACATCATACCAATCACATATATTCGCACATGACATGTAAGCATGAAACATTTTGCCGGTCATGTTCGTCCACATTTCTGGAAGACCTCCCTCTATCTCCCGTGTGATCTGATTAACAAGCCCAGTAAATGTCAAATCCAATATTAAGTTTCTATCTGTGGTGTGTGGCTATTTGCACAGTCTGTGTGTGTAATTTGAACTGCCTGGGTGCATGTGGTCTTATGATACTACAATTAAATAAAATTCACACAAAGAAAGATTTGTTCCATTTGTTCCATGCAGTAACACAATATCTAACATGCATGTGGCATCTCCTGGAAGGATGTGGGTCATTCTCAGATGGGTGAGCAGCCATAAATCTGTTACCTTCGCAGGCAACACAAATTACCAGATGGTGATTCAGCTCCCGCCATATTTGTTTAAGGCTGTGTGTAAAAGGTGACTGAAATGGAATTAATACAACTTGTAAAAATGTAGCAAATTGTTGAAATCTACGAATGCAAAATGTATATATATATATTGTTTGTTATGTGAGCTACATCTTAACATCTACACCAGCTATGGCTGCTCGTGCTCAAGTCCTCCTTTATTATTTTCCAAAAATCACTTCCTCTGCACCAGGCATTTTTAGTTACTGTGTGTTGAATGCATTTCACATCATCTCACCATCTGTTCAAATTCGTGCTGTGTGGCTAAACATTGTTCAATCTCACAGACCATTACTTTGCATTCTAGTGGATATCCAAACGTTTCCAAAAATACCTCACGTCAGGCTGAATTTCGGTGAAATGTGTATATGATGATGGAGAAGACATTTAGAATATTTCCACTCAATTTGATAGAACAGCCTTATAAAGTGCACTGAGCAGTGGAAAGTCACTAAGTGCATTTACTCAACCACTGTACTTGGAGGGTCTTCTTCACTATCTTTCAGACTCAAGCAATGTACTTTTTACTCCACTACATTCAATGTGACAGCTATAGTTACTTGGATTAAGTTTTTACATGCAAAACATGTGATGAGTTTACAAAATAAAATGCATTGTCCTTTATTAGGGGGCGGCTGTGGCTCAGGAGGTAGAGCGGGTTAGCCGTTAATCGGAAGGTCGGCAGTTCAATCCTGGCTCCCCCTGGTTGCAAGTCGAAGTGTCCTTGGGCAAGATACTGAACCCCAAATTGCCCCTGGCGGCTATTCCGCCAGTGTATGAGTGAGTGTGAATGTTAGTTTCCGTTTGAGCACTTAGGCTCAGTGTATGAATGTGTGTGACTGGTGAATGCAGATGTAGTGTAAAAGCGCTTTGAGTGGTCGAAAAGACTAGAAAGGCGCTATACAAGTACGGAGCATTTACATTTACATTTATTAAACTACCCATATATAATGTAGTTAAAAGTGTCACCTCAAGCAGCTGCATTAAACATTAATTAAACATTAAACATTAAAATGCTGCTTATGTATTAATACATCAATAATGTATAATTATAATGTAATAATCAAATAATGTATAGTATACCATTCACAGGGCTCTTTTTCTGCATAATGTGTACTTTTAGCTTTGATAAATTTAGAAGAATATGCTTTTAATTCTTCTGTGCTTACCTAGGTAAGATTTTGAATTTTGAACTTTTCCTTGGCTAAGTCTGCCTCACAGAGAAGCTAGCTTGGCTGTCTTATTTCAGTATGTTGTGTTTTCTATCAGTATCAATAACATTTACTGACATTTACTTGTTGCATATTAAACCACAATATATTCTCTGCAATCTGAGCATGCTCTGAGTGTCTGTGCATGCGCTTGTATCTGTCATTCCACAATCTGTTGATGTCTTTCCCCATTTATGTCCTTTTGCTGTTTTCGCTACCACTCCTTCTGCTGTCACATCTGCAGCCACATCTGTATCTTTCCACCAGTTTGTTTTCAGTTGCTCAGTCATTCAGGAGCTTATCCTGCTTATCCCTTATTTTGCTCCAGTTACTCATCTATCCATCATCCCTGCCACTATGTCGTTCTGACATTTTATGCCATGCCTCTCTCCATCACTATGTTGTCCGTCTGTCCGCCGCTGCCTCTGTCAGTCTGTTCAATTTCCTCCCAGTCAGCAGCCAGCTCGAGTTTCACATTCTTCTGAATTAACACTCTAATCAATATCCCCATGGGAGAGTTCGCTCTGCTCAGCAGCCTCAATTACTCTCCTTCTCTCTCTATCTCTTACACACACACACACACACACACACACTTAACGCACACCCAGTTGCACAAGTCTGATTTATGAGGTACTGCTAACAGCTCTCTGCAGCATTGCAATGCCAACTCCCCGCTTTATAGATGTGTCTGTGCGAGTGTGTGTGTGTGTGTGTGTGTGTGTTTTGGTTTATGGCTGGACTCCAGGTGTTATGAGTGATATCGGAGTGTATGTGGTGGATGAGAAGAGTGTTTTATGAGGAGCTCTGTGGAGCAGTAAAATCTATCACATCTCTCCATCATTGAAAGAGAAGAGGGGAGAAAGAGAGGCGGCGTGTTATAAGGATTTCCCTCCATAAACAGTTCTACCAGAAACCTAACCTGCTGTGGCATTCCCCAGTGCACTTTTCTTCCATATTGCTTTGGCCTAGTAACCCCTACAACTCCCCTCGTTTCACACTCATTCCACACACACATCGTCTATCACTGCGCAACAGGTTTCAACTGTAATTCATCATAACAAGAATAGTATGGAAGCCAGAGGATAAAAATACACAGTCTTTTACATCCCTCATTCAATTTCAGACATGTAATGGAAGGTAAACCCACCGTTTAATTTGCCAAATGCGTTTAGCTGTTAAGAGTGAGCACATTTTAGAGTGTGCATACCACCTCTGCCAAGGCTTTAATAACATAAAAATCTTTAGAATTGTTAATATGCACAGTGATAAATCATCATGGGATACATGAGCCAGAATTCTTTCATTCAAGTCAGTGTAGCATTTCATAAGAAAATGTTAAAAACAAAGTTAAAACATTTCTTTTAAGTTTAAAGTTCTTAGCCTATAAAGGAATAGTTTGACACTTTAGGAAAAATGGTTATTGGGTTTCTTGATGAAAATTGGATGAGACAATCGATACCACTCTCCTAGTTTTCTGTTATAAAGCTATAGACAGAAGACAATTAGTTTAGCTTATATATGGGGACTTTATGCTTATAAATCCACAACTTGTCAATTTTACACTTTGGTTCCTGTATATAATGTGTTAAGTTTTAGAGGTTTTGGGTGGCAAGGTTTGATGCCTCTTGCAAAACATGTGATGAGTCTAGCTGTTTCCCTTTTTTTACTTTATGCTAAGCTAAGCTAACCAACTGCTGGTGATAGGTTCATTTTTTACTTTAAAAACATCTTGTATCTGTCTTAAATTCAATATATATTAAATTGCCACATGATGTAGTATCAAACAGACACATAGTGTGTCTATGTGGATAGAAAGACAAACCAACAATTGCTATATAATTTATTTATTTTTTTTACCCAATGCACTTTCTACCACATTGAGTTTTTCTCAAAGTATGGGTAAACATGACAATTTATTTTCTACCTTTTCTCAGCATCCACCCACATGCACTTCCATGTTCATTTCTTTTATTTTGTCCTCTGCCTCTTCCTGTCAGATGATAATTCAGACCCCGAGGCCTCTGAGCTCGACCTGGGCACCAAGATCAAGACGCCCAAGGATGTGATGCTGGAGGAGCTCTCCCTGCTCAAAAACAAGGGCTCCAAGATGTTCAAGATGAGGCAGCAGAGAGTTGAGAAGTTCATTGTGACCAACGAGAACACGGTAAGAGTGAAGAAGAGAAAGGCAGTGTGTGTGTGTGTGTGTATGTGTTTGCATAATGTTTTATGTGTATGTGTACTGATCAGACTATATCTATATCCAGCAGAACCTCCAGAACCTGTTGATGTCCCCTCCCCCTATTCCACCAAAGCCTGAGGTGTCAGTGGAAGAAGGTAGGGTCACAGATCCCTTTTTATATTTTCTGTCCCTTTTCAGTATTTAAGATGCTTTCTTTCTGTAAAGATTTTGCATTTAATCGCTCTGGTCTTCCCCTTTTTTGTAGTGTTGGATGTGGAGGCAGAAAAAGACAAGATGAAGGAAAACTATGTACGCACCTATGTATCGCCCTGGGAACATGCCATGAAGGGCAACGAGGACCTGGCGGCAACCATGAAAGCCTCCATGCCGGGACCCATCCAAACGCACCCAGAACTGCCTCTGTACAAGAGCTTCAACAGGTACACAAACAACAATTATCACTCTCTTGTAATAACTATGTTTCCTTGCATGCAAGTATAATGACAATAAAGTTTTCGATTAACATTGAATTGTACTGAATTGAATAAATGTGTTCATAGTAATGAATCGCTTAGCCAATAAAGCATCCAAAAAGAAAAAAACATGTCTATAATAATTTGGATGTGCATTCACTACACTGTAGCTTTGATGTACTACAGCCCTAGGTGACATCTTTAAATTACTTATTTTGTCTGACCAACAGTTTAAAACCCAAATATATTTAATTTAAAATTATATCAAACAGAAAAGCAGCAGACTCACATTTGAGATACTGGGGAAAGCAAAAGTTTGCCATTTTTGCTAGATGAATGACTTAAACAATTATTCAAACTGTTTACACTAAAAGGCATATACACATACATGCAACTACAGACACAGATTTTACAATTGCATTTTCAATACAAAATATGTCTTTTCAATATGTTATTTAACTTTGAATTGTTAGTTACAGGATGTTATTTGACACTACTTTTATAGTACATCCATTGATTCTATGCTTTTGTCCAGTGACGCACAAATGAGGTACAATCCAAGCCACAGCAGATCAAGGAAAATCCATTATTAATGCCTGAGATTAGCATCTTTCACCTAAATTTTGGTGTGGCAGCAGCAAAAAAACTGTATGGAAGAGATGCAAGTAGATAGAAAAGTATTATATGATGATTACTATTGTTAAATGATGTTTTAGTATGAACTGCAGCACCAGTCTCAACTTTATCAGCTCACTAACCTACATCACTATAACAACCGGCAGTTTGCTGTTTCGTCACCAGTAAAAGCTATTTTCTTCCTGGGTGTGTTTCCATGGCTTTATTCAGCAGCAATACAGCCTTCACATAATGTACCACATCACCAACATCTAGAAATGTTGGTGAAATGTATGCCATTACACTTAACAGTTAGACAACATTTTGCTGCAGATATAATTATATTAATTTTATTTCAGCCCTAGATCTCTGTATATTGTAATACTGTTAATGGTGGTTGTAGACCCTGCTAAGTGCAGCTGTGTCCCTCGTAATTACTAATGGGTCTGAAAAAGCTATAAACAACCAGCCATACACGGCTGGAGACAACAGGCACCTGGGTATAATATGTAAAATGACCCGCAATCCTACTACACAGGAGCAACTGAAAGTGACACAAAACGACTCCAGTTACTCTCCGAGAAACGAAAATAACTCAGACATGTGATCACTTGTGTCTCTACGCCATCGTTTCACGTCTCTTTGTGCTTGTTTATTTCACTTCTTGGGCTCATGGGCCTGTGCCTGGTAGGTAGGTTCAATATTCCATCCATGCAAACAATTTTTAGTAAAAAAGTATGTCATCCTTTGTCTTGTAGTAATATGTAGAAAATCAAATAAAAAATACAGCATGATCATTTTTTGTATGATCCTGTTTTGTATCACCTTGTCTCTCCTCAGCTTCCTATTTCTTTTTTTCTTTCCCAGGACGGCGTTGCCATTTGGCGGCTTTGACAAGGTGCCCAAGACGCTGACCTTCGAACTCCCACAGCTCAACGCTGCTACAGAGGAGCCCCGAGCCTATACCCACCCTGCAGGCTGACATCCGCTCACGCCCCTCATTCAACCGCACGCCCATCGGCTGGGTCTGCAGTGAGGACAACTCATACATCCACATGGACCTGGAAAACGTCCCCTTCGACGGAGAGACAGATGACCTGTGAACACGCATGCACACACAAGCATATTTATAGTACATGTATACTGAAACACCCACACATCGAAGTACATGCACTGGAACTCATATACACATACATACATCAAGAATATACCCTCATATGATTGTATACATGAGAGCACTAGGCTGAGTTCATAATTTACTTCTTATACACTGACAACATAAACACTGTTAGAACTGCTGAGGCTCCCATGAACATGTGTTGAAATGTACTTTAATTACCTGGAAACTAAATGAACAAAAATGACTTGAAAAATCATTTGAAAAGTACAAAGTATCTCCCCTGGTCTCCTGGGTGCTTTCTTATCTTTTCCTCTTCAACTATTATTAAGTCTTACTATGACTGTGCATACTGTGAGCTAATATGAGACCTGTGTGAATAGCTATAGATAAGCACTCTGCACTCTTAAAACAATGTATTTATGCAATAAAGTTCCCCTTTACAGAACGTCTGTCTGGTTCTTATGTTTACACTGCATGTGATAGTCCCCGGTTATTAAAAAGGACAATATCTGATTATATCCCCCCTCCCCCCATATGACCACCTGTTATCACTTAAAGCCCCTCCAGCCAGTTTTAACTGCAGTTTTTGGTGAACGTTCTTCCTCAAACAGAGAATGGGGGTGTTCTTAATAGTCAGACGTAATCAATTACCATGACAACCAAAAACTGACTGGCTGGAGTGTTCGCTAACGATTTGCTGTGTTAACATCACTACACTGTAAAGTTTAGTACACTTTACTGTCTGGCAGGAGTAGCTATTATTTACCCATGATAGAAACTATTGTGCGAGAATCAGCTGTTATCAATCATACAGTCGATGGTCCTGTCACGCACTGCATATGATAACTCCCAGCTATGTTTTATGGTGCGCTTACTTTACCGCGGGGGTGGGGGGTCTATTACTCTGCTGAACTGTGTGTAAAGACTTCTGATACCATTGGTAAAATGGCCGTCAGTAAAATGCGTGTTGCAGACTGTATATAAGACAGTGGCAGGTGAAAGTGCGACGTGTTTTCTGTCCTCCAACACCACACGCACAAATGCCATAATGAAAATGAACAGCACACTAAACCAAGAGGAGGAAACTAAAAAATAAAATGAAGACCCTCTGTTAGTTAACTTTCTGCAATAACTATGCTAGCTAACTACAACTGGCTAACTACAACTTAGTTAACTTAGCTAACTAAACTAGAAAGACAAACCAACAATCAGAGAAACATACCTACTGTAAGTTCTAAGTAAATCACATGATAAATTAGTTAGCTAGCTCACAACGATGTTTATCGGTTTGATGCTCTGACTTAACGAGGGGTGGCGGTGACAGTTTTTTAACGAGGCATGACAGTGCTGCCTGCGCAAGCTTGGAGAATGACATATGACTTATGGAATTACTTTAGTCATATGTCACCACCCCGTTTTAACAACTAAGCAACTTTTGCAACTTTGAGCACAAAATTAAGCTATTTGTCAAAAAATATTTGGTGAACTATGTGGGTAATCAACATTGTAAGGAAATGACATAGAAATGTCAAAATACACTTTAAGTCACACGATGAACCGTGCGATGTTGTTAAAATCTTGGGAAATATAAGCTGCAAGATTATTTTGTGTGCTACTGTTTCCAAGGGCAGGAATGAGCTAAGAAAGTGCTTTAGGCCTTACAGCCACGACTGTCTTCTGATTGGCCATTGTCTTCTGTGTTTACCAGGGGCGAGTTCAGCGCGGACAAAACGTAGCAAAACGTTTTTTCAACGGTTTTTCAACGGTTGAAACACCCTGCTGTGTACGCAAACGCACTGAATTTTCTTGCCTTTCTAACATCGTTGTGTTTACTAACTTGTGGCAGCTGATTGGGTAACATCTAAGACACGCCCACCAAACGGGACAAAACATACCTCGAAGCCCGTTGCAGAACGTCGCAAGGAAACATGTCGTTCGTACGTTTTGAGATTGAACTCTGCACATTCCTTTGTGGGCGTGGCCAGATTTTGGCTCACTAAATTCAGCCAAGATTCAAACTGATGTAAAAAGAAAACCTCCTGTTTCCATTGACTCATTTCACTTCACAGTGATAACAGACCACCTCAGGGTGACCCTCTGTCAATATCAGAGCGATCTGATGTAGGTTTTAAAAGATAAACCCTTAAAAATGTCTAAAATTTTCACTGAATTTGCTGATTTCAGATTGATTGTGTGATTTAAGTGAAATGAGTCAGCAGAAACAGGAGGTTTTCTTTTTACATCAGTTTGAATCTTGGCTGAATTTAGTAAGCTTTCTGCAAAAATGTAATACTTTCTTTAGATACTTGTGTTGTCTTAAGCATTTATTTATTTATTTATTCAATCGTTTTTGCCACACCAATTGCATTATGTTCAGCTTTTATGCTCGCTTTTATTTTGAAATGTGCTGCGACCTATGGCTGCGACACGGTTTTACCGTAATGCCTGGAAAAAACACGCATCGCAAAACAGCGCGAGGGCTGGCTTGACTCTCGCTTTCGAAGGGGAGGCTGGCTTGACTGCAGTATTATTTGAAGCCTTGGCCATGTTTAACATGAACATTTGACATTATAACATAATCGAAATGCCAGAAAATATGAAAAAAGCATAATATACATACATATACAGATACATTCCATCTGCCTTTTATTACATGTCATCATCCCCATTCCTTCCCTTCTTTATACTGTCACTCTATATATCCAATAAAAAAATCAAATCAAAATCAAAAATACGAAAAAAAATAAAAGTGATAACTTGTGGTCATTGCCGGCACTCAATAAGTTATATAACTTAAAGAAAAGGTTTGATATTTTGGGAAATAAAATTTTGCTTTCTTGATGTGACAGCTAGATGAGAAGGCTGATACCAATCTCATGGACTGGTTAGCTTAGCCTAGCATAAAGACTGGAACAGCTAGCCTGACCAAAGGTAACACCAGCACATGTAAAGCTCACTAACTAATACTTTTTTCTTAATCATTTTATCTGTACAAAAAGCGTAAAAAGAACAGACATGAAAGTGCTAACTTATCTTCTCACCTACTTCTTGGCAAGAAAGTGAATTTTGTATTTCCCAAATTATGTATTTCTGTAAATGCCTTGCTGCTTGGTTGCATGTTACTAATGTCATTTTCTCTCAGTTACAGTGGCATTAAAAATCACAGCCAAACTCAACAATGTCCCCATGACCTCTCTCACCTGCTCTATGAATAGCACTGTGTTCAGGCTGTGACTGTAAACTGGAGCTGGCAGGTCTCCAGTGGACACACTCAGACATATGTCCTCTACATGCTGCTAACAGCAGGTTGACAGTGGAGGTGTGTGCATTTAAGAGAGTGACACAAAAAGAGAGACAAACAGGTAGGGCCACACGGTCAGCATAGGCCTACGGGATGACATCATCACCATCCTCTCGCTCTCTTTGCCTCGTGCCCAGAAGGGGGCGGCATCGGGCTGAGCAAAGCGCAAGATTAAAAACCGCTACGTCACACACCACCGGAGAGCTGGAGGATGGCACGCTATCGCGAGAGCGGCATGCCGCCACCGCAACGCTCTGATGGCGCTGGTGGGGGCTGGATGCGCCCACGGCTCGCCCTCTCTCCTCGCTCTCACACGGTACGACACGCGATCGGACGTAGACTGGCGGCGACAGCAGCCGGGGTGAGTAAAAACCTGCACACTGCGCACTGCATGGGCTCCATCACAGAGAGGCCGGGGGGACACGCTTGAAACCGCACCAGGCAGAATATAGGCTACCATCAGTAGGTGTGTGTGTCTGCGTGTGTCTTTCTGTGTATGTGTGTGTGTGTGTGTGTGTGTGTGTGTGCGCGTGTGTGTGTTTTTATGAGGGGCAGTCAGCGTGTCAGCCAGATGTGAGCCTCAACAGATGTGTTCTCGTGACAGTCTCAGAGGATGGCTGTCATCTTTTTCTCCCATCATCTGTCTCCCATCATTGTCATCATCACTCTCATCAGCAGCACAAGCGGCGTCTTTTTCCTCGTGCAGGGTTTCCCCTCCTCAACATTGCTTTTGTATCTTGTCAGTTTTAGTGTTTTATTTTAAGGAGGTCTTGGGTCGGTAATTCCCCTCTACGCAGCAACTCTCTCTAGTTCTGCACACTGGTTGCTGCTGTAGCCTAAGGGACAACAGCATCCTTTCACCTCAACTTCCGACAGCCCGGGTTCGTTTTCCCACAGTTACAGGTGTTCCGGCCGTCCCATCCAGCCTGTCAGGTAGGCTACATAGGCTACCCCTATCCTGTGCTCGTGGCTCCTGTCCTCCTACTGCGTGTTTGGAGCGGAGCGGAGTTTTGGTGGACTGTTAGGCTACAATGTGTGGACTTGTTGATGGATGGCCGGGAGAATGCAGCCTTTTACGGATTCACGCTGCCCTGTCATCGCTCCCGGGGGCCGCTATTGATTTAACGTTGCGGTTTCGATCCGCGTGATTGATGTCTTTGGCCCCTCATCGGGACCCGCATCACCGTCAGCCTAGTGCCGTCACATTAGCGATGGTGACACAGCCCTCTGCTGCCCGCCTCACGCGCGCTCACACACGTGAATACTTGGAGAAAAAAGGGAAATAGGCTTTTGGCCATCCCCTCATTATCCTAATCGACATCATTAAGCAGGAGCACATAGCATGCTTGTTTTGTTTAGGAGAGGGTGTTAGGACAATGCACTGACTTTGTGTGTGTGTCCTTAAGGCTTACTATAAACTTATCCATTACTACACGTGCCTAAACCTATAAGCCCCAGAGTCTGACCCCAACCCCAAACCAAGTGTTAACCTTGCAGAGATCATATCTCCAGATGGGAGATGAACAGTGGCTTGTTGAACAGGCGCTATGTCCCCACAACATGAGGAAAGCAATCCCCACACACATGAGGACACGCACAGCTAAAGCAGCATCATCATCCTCTAAAGTGAGCTAAAATGTCTCCTTGACATTTAAGTTGGACTTATCATCAGTTGTTTTGGAGATGAAACACTCTGGAAGGGAGTTCATTTTTGCCTTGTGTTTTTTTCTTGTGTTTGTACTTTTCATGCTATATGGTTAAGGTAAGTATTGCTGCCTGCAAGTGTGCAGTACACCCACTCACCCTGTTTCATCTTAAAAACACCCTCTTAATGTCCTTATTTGTACTTCATTTAATATGACATGTCCTTATATGTACTGTTGTTTCCATATTTTATAACCTCGCTTTGGTACAATATTCTTGTCCTACAGCCTTTTTTACTGTTTGTGTATGGGGATGTCCCGGATGGAAAACTCATATAGCCTACCTTTTAGCTAGAAAAGAGTTTGCCCCAAGTTAAACACACTGCCACCAAAGCTTCTCTCTTCCCTCTCAGAACGACTTTCTTTCCACCAACCTAATTTCACTCATACCAATCAGAAAGATTTATGGGATGTTATGTAACACTGGTGGACAATAGGGAAACTTGACACCTGATGAGGAACATCCTCAGAGCTGAGTATGAAGATGTGCTCAGGATTTAACTTAGGGTCTTGGGTCTATTTTTATTTATTTATTTTTTGTTAAATCAGACTATGGATTGTTTGGATTTTATATGATGTAGACCAGTTTATTTGTTGAATTTCAGAGATATCTGCTGAAAATAATCCCTCCCTCCCCCCAAACACACAGCCTCAGTGAGAACCACGTAATCATCCTGCACGTGTGGGCAAATGTGTTGATCTTTGAGAAACCATCAGTCTCAAGGGCTCATTGACTTATCGCATGTGTTTGCAGACAAACCATCATGAAACAATTTAGAAGATAAGTCTGTTCAATTCATTTAAATTCTACTTAAATTGACTTAATTGGTTTAAATCCCCAGATTAGTCCTTTAGACGTGCTCATGTGTGAATGATGCAGGCTTCCCGGTTTCCCAGGACATTCATCTATTGTTGACGTTTCAGTTTTAAGTGTTCCTGCCTCAGCGGTCAAGGTTGGGTCCACATGCATAAGAGGGTTGAGGTATAAAGAAGAGCAGAATAAGTCACTGCAGAGGATGAAGAAGGAGGAGAGGAAAAGAAAGGCACACACGTATGTTTCCTTTGACCTTTAACATCCGCTAAAGTGCTCTTTCTCTCCTTTTCCCATAACCGCTCCTCTTTGACATGTGGTTGTTTATTCAGTCTAATGTTCCACCTATCATTCTCCTCTTCTCTCCTTCACACTCACCAGTTCTCCTCTTGTCTTTTTTCCTGTACTATACTCTCCTTTTTTTCTTTCCTTTCCATTCCCCTTACCAACTCTGCTACTCTTCTCCCCTGTTCTCCTCTCACCTACCTGTCTCTTGATCACCCTAAAACCCTGTTTCTCCTCCACTCCTATCTCTCTATACTCTGACTTAAATTGTAAAAACTTCACATGATTCCCAGCATGCATTGTAAATAAAAATGGTTATGTAATAGTCTACATATTAAATATTCACCCCTCTTTATATTTTCTATGACTGTAATAGGATTTGTTGTGCACATGTGCCACGGTGATAATGGGTTGCATCTAGGTTATAGCGGGTGTGTGTGTGTGTGTGTTTGTGCATGTACATGCGATTACGTGTGTGTTTTCATATATACTTTACTGTAATAGTTCAGAGTCTGAGCTAGAGATAACCTTGAATCTTGCAAAAAAAACCAGTTCCCACTCTCGCTAATTATGCTCACACATGCAGCTGCACGTGTGCCTACTGTATGTTCATGCACACACACTCAAAACACACACATTATGTATAACTTCTCTTTAGAGAAAGTGGGAAAGAGGAGGAGAAAAAGAAGCACAGAGGGGAGGATGAACTCTGGGCTCTCCCTATTGTCAACTAAGGCTATTTGAAGTTACAAATAACCCAGTTACAGGGAAACCACTGTGCGTGCGTGTGTGTGTATGTATGTGTGTTTGTGTGTGTGTGTGTGAACACATGCATGTGAAGTGAAGTTTTTGGGAAACGGAAAAGGAAAGAGACAGAGATGAATGGGGAAAGAAGTGGAGAGAGTGAATGAGAATGGAAAACAGAGGTCAGTGGAAGAAAGTGAGAGACAGAGAGCAGGAATGAAGTGAATGGGAGGGAGAGAGGAAAGTGCAGCCAAAGGAGACAGAAAGAGAGCTCAGAGATTATGCAAGAAAAGATCAAGACTTCTCTCTTTTACAGGGATATATAAATATACTTCTCGCCTTTATGTTTGCTCGAGTGGGAGGGAGACAGCGTGAGAGACGGACTATTGTCCTCAGGGATAGTATCAGCTCTTTGTTCAGTTTGCATGACACTGGTGTCACTGTCACCAAGCCACACTAACTCACAGCAGAGAGAGAGAGAGAAAGATATAGAAACAGTAAATTCAAGTTACACAAAACAGTGTATTTAACAGCAATTTATTTCCATACATCTCAGTTTTTGAATTTGAAATGTTTTCCCCTCAGCTGAAAGGAATAAATGTGATTATAAAATGGAAAATGAGCAAATTTGGTTAATGAGACTTGAACAAGGTGCTGATTTGTTGTATTGTTGTTCAAAAATGTGATGAAAACAAAGAAATATTTCTTTCTGGGAGGTCATATATTACATGTTGGACATACACATTATGGCCAAAAGTATATATACTACTATATATACTTTTTTGGAATTCTGTTGGCTGGTCTGTTTTTCATGGTTTGGCCTTGGCCCCTTACTTCCATTTCCAAATGGAAACTTTGATGTTACAGCATACAATGAAGTTCATTCTTGACCTTGGGAACAGAAAAACAATCTCACATTTTGATTAGAACATCTACAATTCCACGACAACTTGTGTGATACAATCAAAAGCTATTTTGATATTTTAGGTAAAAGTGTGCTTCCAACTTAGAAACAACAGTTTCTCTTGACTCTTTCCTGTTCCAACATGACAGTGCCCTCACACACAAGTGAGGGCCTTAAATGAATGGTTTTCCCAATTGGTGTGGAAAAACTCAACTGGCCTGTCCTGCTCTCAACCCAATTCAACACCTTTGGGATGAAATGAAATGCTGACTGTGAGCCAGGCCTTGTCCCCCAACGGCAGTGCCAGACCTCACTAATGTTCTTCAGGCTGAATGAGAACAAACTGCAGCCAGGTTCTAAAACCTGGAAGCCTGAATTCCTTTTTAGGTGTAATGGTCTGGTGTCCACTTAATTTGCTTGGGTGTTCACATACATTTGGCCGTGTAGTTTATCTTGGACCAGTGGTTCCGAACCTTAGGACTTGGGAACTCCCAAAGGGTTGCAAGATAAATCAATAAAAAACAAGATAGGAAATTAAATGAAATGAAAAAACAGTCTTTCTGCACCACAAATTATGTTTATTTAACTTTATCTACCTTTTCAGGCCTTTTAAAACTCCTAGTAAAACAGTCTATTTGGTTTAGCAGCTCTCAATTCATAGACATAGGCAACTTCTGATAAGGAGTCACATTTAGACATTGCTTTGCTTTGAAAGATCCCAAGTCAAAAGGTTGGGACCCACTGTTTTAGACAAATATTGGTACCCCAATATTCCCATCCTGACTTATGGAATACGTTTTGTTCTGTTGCCAGTTCAAATGAGTATAAGTTCTATTCAAGACTTGAGAAATCTCGGGGAGTAATGTTACCACCATTTGGTCCAGGAGCTTCACCTGGATGATGGTTGGTTCAAG